TAACCATTTTTACTTCAGAGAGTGGGGACAGAGGAATTGGAGGCACTGGCCTAGTTTCCTTCCCGTGGAAGAGTGGTGAAGGCCACCCATTGTCCTCTAAATCTTTTCGATCCTTCACTTGTAACTGAATTCCCAACTCTTAGTTAGGCACGTGGCTGCCCATTATACAGACAGTTCCCAGTAGGGAGGGTGGTCACGTGACTGAGTTCTGGGAAATGGATGTGAGTGTAGGTGACTTGCACCTTCGTTGCTCTTGCCCTTTCCCTCGCCTCTTTGGGTGGGATGCAAATGAGAACAACTATCATATTACTTTAGACTTTTTCTATGAGAAAGAACCGCTACTTTGTTTAAGCCATTATTCTGAGCAGCCAGATTTATGTCCTAATGAATATAGGGAGATAATGCACATGGTTTGGAGCACTGAGACTAAGAGATTTTCTGATATGGATGAAAAAAGAAACTGAAAGGAGAAGAAATGTTCAGCTTAGGCCAAGGAAATTTGTACCACTTCCTCAAGCTGCCTATACATAAAACACGGAATTACGAATGGGAACACAGACTTATGTAGTCAGACATGAGTTTTAACACGAATTTTTAAGTAAGATTATTATTATAAAGAAATGTTTCCAATCCTCAAAGAAAGAATATCCGTTAGATTCTCACGGTCCACGCAAAAGGAACAAGAGTGGTATCAATTTTTGTAAGTAATATGCTGATCAAATTTTAGATGGATATTTAGTTAAGCACCTTTGTAGGATAGTGATTAAAAGTCAAAAGGGTGTGTGATGAGGGAATATCACCATTTTTTCTTCAACCATAAAAAAGTTACACCCATTTTCCAGTTTCTTCAGTGTCTAATTTGAATTTAGTAAATGTATCAATCAATGATTAATGTAGTCATTGCTGTAATAACTAACCAAGAGGTATCCACAAGGAGAAACAAGCAATAAGTCTGAAAGGTAACTGCATTCTGTAAATTACTTTCGCTTTTCAGAAGATAAATATTCAGTATTTGCTCAGTAATTTCTGCTGCTTTCAAAGCAATTATCCTGCTGCCATATGGCATCTGTAAGATATCATTGACCATTAAGTTACAGAATAAAGAATGCATTTTACTACTTGGAAATAAAGTACCATGAAACTCAGATAAAGTCAAATAACCATTTGTTTCTCAGAAAAGCTTCACTGAAAAAACTCACATGAAGGGCAGCTCGTATAAACAGAAGCTCAGCTGTGGTGGGACCTCATGGCCGGGGGCGCGAGAAACTCTGAGAGCAGTGACTCCTGATGGAAAAGGAGCACAGGCCCTGGTGGTAAGCAGTACATGACATGTCAACACAATCCTGGGCACCCTTATACCCGGTAGGACCACCAACAGCTTCCGTATGAGATATCATGTCAAATACTTTTTAAAGAAGATTGTTTTCATAGTTATTTAAAGTACTATTTTGCATAATGTTCTGTGGTGTAATACTCAACCTACTTTTTCCTAGGATTTTGAGCAAGCAAAAGGCAACTGCAGTCTAAATAAAATGAAAAGCATAATTTTTTTTTTGAAGTTAAACTGATCAACCATGCTTGCTGAAAACTACCATGCACATATGAATACTTGCCATGTCCATTCATATTTCAAACACTCAAAGCAACAGAGACATAAATAGGCTTACTTAAACAAACAAATGCAAGGGATTTTGTGAGCAAAGTATTAAGGTTCTATAAAAACATAAAAATAAAGTGATCTTAAATGTTTCAGAAGATGGTAACACTACACAATCAAGCAGGCTGCACTGGGCACATCTACAGCCTCCTAAAACCTGTATTTTTCCCTCAAAGACTGATACTACAAGGTTATCAAGTATCACTAAAGACGGTTTAACTAAAATTTCCTCCCAACTATTCAAGATGGGAAAAAGCTTAAAAAGTAGAGTATACATTGTATGATTTAATTTATGTAAAATTCTAGAAAATGCAAACTAATTTATATTGTTAGAAAGCAGATCAATGTCTGGGGCCTGGAGTGAAGGGCGGGATGGATTGCAAAGGAGCATGAGAGGACTTTTGGGAGTGATGGAAATATGTTTAGTACCTTGGCTGTTGGGTGGTTCCACAAGTGTATATATAGGTCAAAACTCAATAAATTGCACACTTTAAACGCATGAAGTTTATTGTATAAAAGCTATACCCTAATTAAAAAACAAAGAGGGGCCGGCCCTGTGGCTTAGCGGTTAAGTGTGCGTGCTCCGCTGTTGGTGGCCTGGGTTTGGATCCCGGGCGCGCACCGACGCACCGCTTCTCCGGCCATGCTGAGGCCGCATCCCACATACAGCAACTAGAAGGATGTGCAACTATGACATACAACT